GGGCGGAGACAAACTAGTCAAATGTTTGAAAACACTAATTGTGTGTCAGATAGCTACTGATAACACATCCTAACAATGCTTTGTCTTGAGTTTATCTTTGAAACTTATAGGCACACAGATTAAACCTGTGTTGTTGATTTTGGAAAACACTACTGAGGCTGCCTTGCTTCCCTTCAGAAAATCTACATTTTAACCAACTTACATGACATTCTATGTTATGTTGACTTTATCACATGAAAGTTTATAGTGCATTTCATCAATTAATAAAAAAAATGTGAAAATCGTAATTTTCAACACAAATAATAGTCTTGCTACCTTAATCTAAACATTTGACAAACTTTTTGACTGTCATAAAACATAATTTCCTTTATCTTGGCCTGACTGAAACATGGATTCAAATTCTGTTTTCTGTATAATTTATTAATCTTTAATTTAATAATGTAATCGTGACAATTCAAAAGGCGGAGGCGTAGCACTGTACATTCACGAATCCTTGTCTTTTACCCATATTAACACATTGAAAATTATGCATCGTGAATCGATCTTTGTGGAAACCCACATAAACAACAAAAAGATTATCATAGGCGTTAAGTACCGTACACCTAACACCCCATATCATGAATATTTTTACTGTTTAGAGCTATGTCTACACCAGTTGTCAGCCAAGAGTATTGATTCTATTATACTTGATGACATGAACATTGACACTTCTGCCGCTTACTACAAACACACCTTTAACACACCTACACCGCTGATAATTTTAGTACTTGTACTCACTTTGACCCTAATGATATCTATAATACATTTTATGACTTATTTTATACAGTTTTGTGTAAGCATGTGCAAGTCCAATTAATAAAAAGAAAAGCCATCAAAACCTTGGTTGTCAAAAGGTATAATTATATATAAAGGGATACAAATTCAAGTCCGTGCATGGCAATATTAACAAAACGTGGAAAGTGAGCAATAATATTTTAAATTTTAAAACATCATCACATACTTTAAATTTCTTTAGTCAATTGCCCTACGAAAGAATCCTAACAGAAACAACAGATAGAGTTTAACAACTTTTTCACCAATATCGGATCTAAAATCATGTATAACATGACTGTGCTGGGTGATTTTAATCAATATTCAACTGGCAATTATTGTTTTTATTTTCAACCTGTGAATGAGAGTGATATAATCAATTACATCAGTGCCCTAGTTCATGGGAAATCAGTTGGACAGGATGGCGTCCCCCTAAAATAGTCAAGCATGCATGTCATATCATCCCTGTCCACGTCCACATTATTAATTGTTCACTTTGCAATGAAATAATGAAATGTATGTATGTATAATTATTAATGTATTGCAATATAACAAATTGAAATGTGATTTTTTTTTGATAAATTCAGAAATATGTTGGTTTGATTGTAACGTTCACAGCTGTGCTAGGTGCGCCCCAGCGACAGTTAATAGATATAAATAAGTCTTGTAATGAGTAGAATTCTTTGCCATATGTAAATAATTTGATTAAATTGGGATATTGCATGATTATTTTTATACAATATAAAGATTTTGCAAAGAATTTTTAATAGAAAATCTGCTCCCAACTCTTCATGATGGCTAAACAGAGTTGGATAATTATTAAAGTATCAACATACTAGGGATTTGTTTAAACAAGGGAATAGGGGCGCAGCGCCCTCATGCTATGGCCATGTGCCCCTTACCCAGGGGAGCAGATCCTCTGACAACCATAAAATTCTGATTGACTAGGGATCACATGTGGACACAGTCTTCAACTGTGACCTGTTTGATAGCAATTTTGGCCCCAAGGAAGCCATTTTAACTTAGAATTATAAAAAAATCCACACTCTGGTAGGGAAAACCGTATCTCCCCCACTTGGTGTCGCTGCTGAATTGCAGTGCTCCCTCTTGCAATTTTTTTCTAGAAAAACCCCTGCATATACACATTTAGTTTTTCATAATTAGATAATAATTGTTTTCTATACATAATGAATAAGTCGTCTGACATGCATAGTCTTGTGTTCAGTTCATAAAATGTAATGTACTAGTACATAATTTGAAATGCTTTAAATTGGTTCTGTAATTCTGTTTTTGATGCCTAAATGGACGACTGCTTGTACTGAACTGACATAAACCTGCTAGATGAATCAGGTGAAATGCAATTACAGACAAAAGATGGAAATATAATTTCCTAATTCATTTCATGGTTAACTGCACAAAAATAGCACCAATGGGGTATACAGTAGTGTGTAATCTGATCTGAGAAAACTCTTTCCATATTTCAATAGGTGGGTTGAAAAGTGAAAATGGAATGGATGACGACAATATATAAATATAGTTTTTAATTGTTGATGTTTTTTGTTTGTTTTTAAATTGTAGTAAGAATGTTGCCTTATAGTCTTGATAATTTTGGTTACTTTACTTTACTTTGATTGCATTATAAGGATAGTTGTATATATATTCTCAGAAATCAAAATGCCTGTTAGATTTCAAATTGACCTTCCCGGTATTACGAGTTCAGTTCAACATCATCCAATCAGCAGCAGCTGAATAACTTGGCTGTCACAGCTGTTGTGTGTTGCATAGACATTGCATAGTGTTTAGTGTGATTAATCGCCTCAATAAAAAATGTAAAACATTTTAGAATTCTGTGATTGTCTTTAAAAAATGTGTTTATCTCGCATTGTTTTTGGCAGTGCTTGTTTTGCTGTTTTGAATGCTTGGATATATCAGATTAAGGTTTATAGTATCAACATTTCCAAGCGTTCACTGTGTATTGTGACACTTGGTTTGATCTCAGACTACTATAGAACAGAATAAAATTGCCTATTGTATGTGTGAATCAGAGATTATGCATACCTAGACAGACCTTGCCCGACTGACTATACCGGTAGTTTATTGACACGTGTTAATCAAATTTTGCTTTGTGTATTTTCGTAATGTCATTTCAGATCTAACCGGAAATAAAATCTGTTTTTTGACCTTTCGATCATTTCTTTTTCTGTTAAAATCGGCTAATTTTTGGGCGAGTTACAGCATTTTTAATATCTCCTACTTTTGTCTATGATATTTATCATATGAATACATAATGAGGAAATTTATAGTAAAACTTTACAGTAAAATTTTGTTTTAACTAATATTATTAACAGCAGTCTTAAACTTGATTCTATCAACTTCAAGCTACTTATTTGTAATTTATTTAACAAAATGTGTATTTTGTATTTGTGTACAAGTATTATTCAGCTCATATTCTTGATAGATTAGTGAGCCCTTGTTATAAAAGAGCAGCAACACATAAATAAATAATAATATAAATAGTAGTAGTATTTCTCTTTATTTTGATTTTTCCAAAAATTTGTGAAATTTTTTTCTGAAGATCAAACATAGTTTTCATGGACAATGCGTTTGAAAACTTGATATGCTCACGCAACTAAGTGATTAAATGTATTTAATATTCAGTAGGAAGCTGATATTGTAATGGAGCAGTAGTCTGATTACGTGCACTGATCGGGTCCCCGTTCAACACTTCCAAAGTTGACTTCAGTGTTCATTTATATCACCATCGTTGTGTCATTAGGACGCACCATCTCAGCACAGACCTGTGTCGTATGACACTTACTAGCCGATTTCGGCTAAAATAGCACTCCGCCTACTTTTTACATTATACATGGAACTTGATATTTTGTTTTACAATTTAAGTTACTTTCTAATCGCATTTTTCAGTGAAATATTGTTTTGTGAAAAAAATATTAATGTCATACATTCAAAAACACATAATAGAGTTCAAAATTCACCATGTGATTTCAGGTTTTAATTAGCTTGAAATAGTAAATCCTTTAATGCAATAATATTACATATACATGTGTAGAACATGTTCTAAACAAGGAACTAGCAGCATAAACTGATTGCAGATTACACAACTTTATAGGGCCAGTTTATTTCTACAATGTTTCATTTATGATTATTTAGTAAAAAAGTAACTGAATTGATTTATTATACCCATAAAATGTGCCGACCAACAACTGACTTTGAAATGTTCCAAGTTTCAAACGAACTACATGTATCAGCACTCCTATAAGAGGTATTTTGTTCAAACTCCATCCAGAGTGATCTAACTTGTGTAAGTGGTGTAAGTTTTTTTTAAAATCTTTTTGTGCCAGGCGACAGTTCCGGACATTGAATGTCACTGTTATCACTCCTGACTTTTTTTAAGTGCAAATTGCAAGTGCTAGTGTTGACACATAGTGCATTTTGCCACAGAAGTCATTTCCTGTTTGGGACTACATGACAGAGCTGTGTGGCCATCTCCCTATCAAATGGCAATTTTAATGCGCTAGTGGTGTAAGTTAGTGAGCTACATATTTACCTAATTTTATTTTTCTCTGTTGCTTATTCTTAGCTCGTTTTTTTTTATAATTTTATTTATTTATTTATTTATTTACCTAGTAATCAATCACCTCCACAAGTTGCCTACTAAAAGGAATCTTATTCTCGTAGCACTGGCAATGTGAAAGTCACATCAGGCTATTCATTCATGGATCATTGTTTTTGGCAAATTTAACATTAAATTGTTGTATAATTTTTTTTTCAGTTTCACAGTAATCTCCTTCCATAATGTGTATATTATTTTTCAAACTGGATGTCAATCCACCGACTGATGGTTATAAGTTAATACTGGCATCAAACAGAGATGAGTATTTAGATAAGCCGACTAAACCGGCGTCCTGGTGGCAAGATCATCCTCATATTCTAAGCGGTTAGTATCACTACACTAAAGTGTGTTCACTGAGACGGGAGTGACCAATGTATATTCAAAATGACATTGGTTTGAAACACATTCTCCACGCTCACTCCAAATTGAAGATGATGGTCCTCCCAGTGCATCATGGGTAACACAAGTTCCATTTGATGTATAATACATATAAACCAAAATGGCCAGACGATCACCATGTACCATCAAAACTCTTCTGAATTTCTGATATTTTTTTTCTGTTCTTGTGTCAGCAAATATCAAATTAATTTTGTGTGATAATTGTGTCTCAATAAAATGTTCATGAGTTCAGTTTTTGTTTATAATTATCAATATGTAGGTTAAATTTGGGTAAAATAAAAAGCTTTTTGGACATGGAAGTGCACAAAATGACATTTATTCTGCTCATCATTAGAACCAAATAGATGGTGCAATAACCCGCCAAAAAATTACACAAAATTGTGTACTAAACAATTCGCTCACAATAAAACTATTAAATTTGATTTATTTCACTCAAAGCATTATTATAACTGAATAATAAATACTGTAAAATACTTTATTTTCGCTTGGAATTAATTTTCTCTGAAGTAATGATTCAGTAAAAATAAAATACAACGAATATACCTTTTTTCCTATATTTTACATTCAACTCGCCAAAAATTAGAGAAAATAAATTCCATACAAAACAACCCAAAAAGTCTTTTCAGCGAAAAATTAATTCCAGCTAAAATAAAGTATTTCACAGTATGCTCTAGATGATAGTTTGTGAGTGATGTTTTGTTTCCTCCACCATCCTTACCACTGTCCTTCGAAGGTGTTCAATAATAATAAGTGACTCGTTCTTTTCTCCTGGACAGGGTTAGATATGCGAAAAGGCCGAGTTGGTGGTACATGGTTGGGCATCTCCAAGGAAGGAAGGCTAGCGTCATTGTTGAATATTTTACAACCTCAACTGGACCGGAATGCAAAAGGAAGAGGTATTTATCTGTAATATTCACAGCATGAGAATATTAAGTATTTTAGAAATCTTATACTATATGTTAGGGACGACGTCAAAAGATCGATGTCGGATAAAAAACTTAATTCCTTTAGTTTTTTTCCAAACCCCCATACCCTCCACTGAAACTTAATTGATAAATATGGTCATGGCGTCAGACTACATTCCCCATTAAATACAAATTGATAATCGGACAGTAGTATGGCACAGCAGTTGGCTGTCGGGTGGGTGTAAAAAGATTGTACAAATGCACCTCATTTGACGCACAGATTCACACTCCAACCAAACCATTTTTCTGTTTTTTTTCCCTTTTCGGATATATCTGTCCATGATTGGATAGAAAAAAAAACGAACTACAAATACTCCAATATTTTTTTTGACTTCATTAAAAAATAAAATCGTTTTTGTAGGATGGAAACTTTTTCAGGTCAAAACCCCCACCCCCAAACTAAAGGAAATAAGTTTTTTATCCGACATCGATCTTTTGACGTCGTTCCTTAGACAGAAGCCTTTTCGATGCATCTTCAGACTCAAACATACATTTTTGTGCCTTTTCAAAAAAAATTGGAAATATATTTAATGAAAACTAGTGAATTTGATTGTATTCACAGAGGTGTGTTGTTAAAATAAGTATTTATTATTATCTCTCAGATTTGTTCATTTTTTAGTGAATATTTTTATAATTGTTGGTATATAAATGACATTTCCATGTTCCTCTTGAAAATCATGCCCAATCATGGCAATATCTTTGACCTTCTGTAAACTGAAGAGGTATATAAGCTGAAAGTTTCATTCCCCGATTTATCACATTTTTTTCATGCTAACATACATTTCATCTAGGTCCACTGGTCCGCAATTTTATTAAGAGTGATGTAGATTGTTTACCATATTTACAGGAGATTGCGAAAGAAGGTCAACTTTATAATGGCTTTAATTTATTAGTAATGGATCTCCCCAGGTAAAAGTCACAGAAATATTATGTGTTTTCCATCTTTTACCTCAATATGCCATCATTGACACACTGCATAAATGATGATTATGATATGTGAACTATAATAAAACAATTTGAAGAACGATTGCTATACTTTGGTCATCAGCCTGAGGAGTATACATTTGTATGCATTTCACACAATTTGTCAGTGTTCCAGCTTTAGTTTTGTACCCAATAGTAAGTAGATTTTCAGTCCCTGTTTGGGCACCATCTGAAAACTAGGACTATTAATTTGCAGTCTGTCTGTCTGTCCGTCCGCCCGTCCGCCCGTCCGCCCGTCTGTCCGCCCGTCCGTTCGTCCGTCCGTCCGTCCGTCCGTCTGTCTGTCCGTCTGCCCGTCCGTCCGTCCGTCCGTCTGTCCGTCCGTCCGTCCGTCCGTCCGTCCGTCCGTCCGTCCGTCCGTGTCTGTCTGTCTGTCTGTCCGTCCGGCCGGCCGTCCCTCCGTCCGTCTGTCCGTCCGTCCGTCCGTTTGTTCGTCCGTCCGTCCGTTTGTTCGTCTGTCCGTCCGTTTGTTCGTCTGTTCGTCTGTCCGTCCGTCCGTCTGGAGTCATTTCTCTGACACTCATTGACCAAACAAACAAATTTCACCGACTTGGTTTTTTTTGTTTTTTTTTTACATATTTGCCTTCTTTTTTTTAATCTTAGTATTAATGAAAATACATCAGCACCAATTTTTTTTTCTTGTATGTTATACTTTAATCATAATGACAAATATTTGGTACCAATACTCGAGTTGGTTTTATTTTCATGTGTCCCTTGAAAATGCTTGAGCTGTGAAAAAAATTAGTACGAAGACGACATAATAGAACTTGAACTTGCCTTGATTCACTGTTTCTATATGCTAAGGCCATTTTATATATTCCTTTAACTGCAATGAACTGACTTGATACAACTTTGGGTAAAATGAGTGTTGCTGTATTTAAATTGCTGCTGTAAGTGTAAACTGGCAAAGTCGAGACTTTTTGTCTTACAAACAAAAATTAATTAATAATTAATTGTCAATTTAGCCTTTTTATTGTGATCGTGAAAAATAGCATGACTGCGAAAGAAATCCAGACTGGACGCATCTGCAAGCGACCCCCTGCGTTGGAGTGAAAACCGGAGCGGAATCATTTCCGTGATTATGCTAATTAAAAGTTGTTTACTAGCATTGACAACGAATCAGAGTGCAGCTGTATACATCATATCTTATGTATGTTAATGTATGTGACCTTTCACTTCTGAGGTCCCGGCGATTTTGAAAGACTACTTAAACACATTTAAATCGACTTGTTTTCAGTAAACATGGACTTAGACTTAGAAAGATAAAGTATCCATCTCTGCAATCGAATCAAATCAACTTTTAAAAGGTCATGTTTACTTTAACACACCCTCTCATGAATAATTAATAGCAGTCAAATGCCCACAGATGCGTCCAGTCGGGATTTCTTTAGCAGTCAGGTTAGTTTTCGTGATCATGCTAAAGGAAATAAATTATTATCTATTATCCTTGCATTTGCTATTATACTAGATCCAATTCGATACCTCAGATTGGTTACTATAGCAACATGAGTGGAAAGGATCCTGAATTATTAACTCCAGGTCAGTGCTATTATCTTTTGTGGATTTTTATGCATATGCATTCAACAATTTTAATTTCAGTCAGCACTTAGTTTTAAACTTTTTTTTCAGGAATCCATAGTCTATGCAATGCAATCATTGATAAACCGTGGAAAAAAGCCATCGTGGGAAAAAGGAAATTTGAAGAAATTGTGAACAGTGCCACCAAACGCACAGAAGAGAAATTAGTTGACCAATTAATTGAGTTTCTGAATGATGATACTCCGTAAGTACAGACATAGATCTTAAAAGACATGTTTTGTTTGCAATGCAAGTCTATGGTGCATTCGTCACATCATGAGATACCTGTACCGAGCATTGTTCACGAGATTGAAGCATTTCACGCGTCAAACTATTTTGATTCCCAGACAGTGGTCTACAGTGGGTCTGTGTTGTAATCTGTAATATAACTTCACATGTTTTCTTTGTTTTTCAATTTGATCTACGACATAACATCAGCATTAAACCATTGTGTCAGGGAGCACAATTTTTTTAGTCAAAATAATTTACAAGTGTTGATACTGTAAAAGGGTTAATTATTCACTGGGTTTTAATTTTGCTCATTTCGCTAACTGGAAAATGCGCTAAATTAAAACCCAGTGAATATGTAAAATTTAGCATAGAACACTTTATCTAAATGATAAAACCGTGAATTTAAAACCCACTGAATATGCCTGAAATGGTAAATCAGTGAAATTTAAACCCAGTGAAAATTAGTCATTTTACAGTAAAAGGATTAGGGAAGAAGAAATACTTGAGAAATGTTGGCAGGACTAAGTTAGTGAACAATTAATTCAATAATCAATTTAGTAAGTGTGTAAGTAAACAGTACAAAAATAACCTAACTAAGCTATTATATTGAAATTGCAATATTTTATACCAACAGACATCCAGAGCCCCAGATCAACATTCAGTGCAATGGTGAACTGACACTGAAACAACAACAGGAACGAAGCGCTGTCTGTGTGAAGTCCCCTGACCTAAGATGTGGCTCAAGGTTAATAATTCACCATGCTTATTTACCTCCCTCCCCTATAAACAATAGTTTCATCCACACACTGAAAGCCTTAGGAGAAACCATTTTTTTTAAAGGGGTGGATGATTTTATAGTATTTCTGTTACATTGGGGTTTTGTTTCTTTCATATGGTGCATTATTATGGAACAAGGTAGTGAAACTATAGCCAGTCATTTATTATTTTAGTTTTGGTGAATATTATTTCTTTTTGACTCCCATGTGCGACTCCCAGTCTTTGCGATTAGTGTGTAGTATGTATGTATGTATGTATGTATGTATGTATGTATGTGTGTATGTATGTGTGTGTATGTGTGTCCGTCTGTTCCACTGATATCTCAAGAACCATACATTAGTTGTTGATGAAACTTGGTGCATAGATGCTCTGGGCTAATGCGCAGATTTGATTAGGTTTTAGTAAAATTTCACGCATATTAATTACCTAATTTGCATGATAATAATCTAATTGATATCTAAAGAACCACTTATTGGATTTTGATGAAACTTGGTACATGGATGCTCTGAACTAATGCTTGGTTTTGATTAGTTTTTGGTAAAAATTACCTAATTACTAACTACCTAATTTGCGTAATGATTAGTCAATTTTCGGTTTTTCCAAACTTAGTACATAGATGTCATAGGACACTGCACAGACCTGATAGTTTTTAGGGTAATGTCAGTGCATATTAATTACCTAATTTGCATAATTAATTAATTTTCAGCTTTTGATGTTTCAAGTAGTGAGCATTATATTTCAATGAAACTTGGTACATAGATACTCAAAGACTATGCAGAGATTGATTGTTTTGGGATAAATATTTGTGCATATTAATTACCTAATTTGCATAATTAGTTAATTTTCAGCTTTTCCACGGATATCTCAAGTACTGATCATCACATTTCAATGAAACTGTGCATGGATGCTGTAGGACAATAGACAGACCTGGATAATTGTGGGTTAAAATCTGTACATATTAATTACTAATTTACATAATTAACCACTTTTAAGCTATCACACTGCTATCTAAAGTACTATTTATTCCATTTCAATGAAACTTAGTGCAAAGATGCTCTAGGACAATGTACAAACCTGATTAGTTTGGGGTTAAAATCTGTTTATATTAATTCCCTAATTAGCATAAATATTTATAATTTTTTTGGGTTCCAATCACATTTCAATAAAACTTGGTCTGTTACATTGCGCAGACCTCATTAGTTTCCCATTAAAATCTGTTCATATTAATTTTCTGATTTCCATTATTAGTTCTCGGCGTTTCTATCACTATTACTATCTCTGACAAGTAATTTTGAATTATATTTAATGTGTCTTCAATACTCTCTCAGCACATGGGAGTTCTTTCTAAAGCTTTCTTTGATTTTTCTATTTTCACAAAATTATAATTGAGCGTTTCAAATTAAATATTCACTTTGAAAATCAAGACACTGAGGGCGCTCAAAACATGACATCATCTGTGAACATGGCTACACTGTAATTGTATCAGCCACACTGAGGGCGCTATCCCAAAATATGACATAATCTGTGAACAAGGTGTACTGTGACTGTATCAGCCACACTGGGGGTGCTATCCAAAAATATGACATCATCTATGAACATGGTTACACCGTAATTGTATCGGCCACACTGAGGGGGCTGTCCCATAATATGACATCATCTGTGAACATGGTTACACCGTAATTGTATCAGCCACACTGAGGGCGCTGTCCCATAATATGACATCATGATCATCTGTGAACATGGTTACACTGTAATTGTATCAGCCACACTGAGGGGGCTGTCCCATAATATGACACCATCTGTGAACATGGTTACACCGTATTGTATCAGCCACACTGAGGGCGCTGTCCCATAATATGACATGATCATCTGTGAACATGGTTACACTGTAATTGTATCAGCCACACTGAGGGCGCTGTCCCATAATATGACATCATGATCATCTGTGAACATGGTTACACTGTAATTGTATCAGCCACACTGAGGGGGCTGTCCCATAATATGACATCATCTGTGAACATGGTTACACCGTAATTGTATCAGCCACACTGAGGGCGCTGTCCCATAATATGACATCATCTGTGAACATGGTTACACTGTAATTGTATCAGCCACATTGAAGGCATAAACACCACCTTGGAGTAACCTGCAACAAATATGAAATATGTGGCAGGGCTATGTTGGACCACAATACCAATCATTACCTTGCATGTTTAACTTAGTAAACCATGAATCAATCTTTTTTTTTAATTTTGAAATATAATGATTTTTATGAGCAAGAAAATACAGATTTTACCCTTGCCAAATTGAATTGCAGAACTTTCGTATTACCATTTTTCAAAATTTTTACGATCACCATCTTTACGATCACCATCTTGGCACAAGTTTCATAAAATTTCCTGTCAATTCTAGACAAAAATTGACATGTATGTAATTCTATGACTGACAAATTTTTTTGTGACGTTTTGTGATGTCAGTTGGGTTCTGTAGACTTGATACCGTAGTGAATTTTGCTAAATTCAGTGAATGTCATATCACACACATCTTTGCAGCAAAAATGTATTTCAGTTCTTGCCATATTTTTTAATGTCTTTTTTTCTTACAGGACAAATACCATAATTCTGGTGAACGCTGCAAATAAAGTCAAGTATGTGGAACGAACATTGCAGGAACCAATTGACATTGAGAATTTAAAATGGCTGCGAAATAATTATGATTTTAATCTGAGTTCTGCTTCATCCTCGTACTAAAGAAGTGTTATGCATATTCCAATTTTCAACTTTCAATAAAATAAAATTTCTAGTAGGGTCTGCCCTTATTACAAGTGCAAACCAATTAAATTTTGGTACAGATGGGGATGTGGTTACCATGGAAACATCAATTTCGAGAATGATTTTATCAATGGATTTACATACAATTTTCAGGAGAAATCATCCTCAATATGGACCAGTCGAATTTAGAGATTGAGATGTGGTTGCCATATAAACAATAATGTTGGCAATTTTACATTTATAACACAAACAATTATGAGATAATTAACATTAAATGTTGGTAGTAATTTAAATCGTGTTTTAAAGGGGGCAGTAAAATTTAAAGCAGAAAAATGAGGAGCGAGTTTTTTTAATACAATAATGTTTTTTTTTATATATATTTATTGACATTCATATTAAAATATTATATTGTTATGATTCATGTTTAGTTGATTTACTAGCATACAGATACATCACTCACATTCTCCGCCTATCCCTTTATGCAAATAGTGTGTTGATATTAAAGTCTGTACGTCTATCATTTTTTTTTTAAACGAGAGTAATGCTTCATTACTTCCATCTAATTGTGGACGTGTCCCGTCCAATTACGGGTGTTTTCCTTAAAACAAGACAATTTGCCTTGAATCTGTGATACCTTAAAAATTGATCACAATTATCGCAAATTAGAACATTTATTTTCAACGAAGCACACCAATTGACTGACTGCCAATTGTATGATTTTGTGATCAACTCCGTTAGGAATGAAGAACTTGAAATCAATAATACCGGTAGGTGGAATATTAGAGGAAAACATATTTAAAATCCGAATTCATGAAAAAGAATCTAGTCATAATAGACTTGTACTACTATACATGTATATAATATAGACACTTTAACCCCCCCCCCCCCCCCATCACATTACATTCCATACCCTCCCCTGGTTGTGCATAGTTCATTCCTTATCGAATGTGTTCGAAAATACCCAATCTCGAGTCGCCAAACTGACAATCAACTCTAACAATATGTCATGCAACTGGGATCTAACTACTTTTGTGACTTTCGGGCTTACATACGACTGTGGTATGTTTGTTTCACTTTAATTATACTGACAGGGAGGTGTAACATGAACCTCTTGGCTATGTACTGTCAAATCACCACTGTGCACTGAAAAATTGACTATTGCACTACCTCTGCGTCAAGACTGGAATGTCAAGCTATGGGTAAATATTTTTCGCAAGGTTTGTAATTTATTGGCCATTTTATTGACCAGATTTTTCTTTAAAAAGAACAAGTTTATACATGGCCAATTATTCTGAATAATGAAACTTCTGCCTGTGATAAAGGGACTGCTATCAAACTTTACCGAAAGCGAGGGAAAATGCTAACAGTTAATTGTGACTAAATCATATAGTTTTGTACTAAAAAAACCAGCCCAAATGCATGCGACTACAAGTTGACAAGTAAACCTTCTAGACCAGCATAAAGTAGCGGCCAAAATAAAACTTTGGTGCGACTGACTACACAAGCTGATGTCACCAAATTGAAAGTTTTGGTGCTCAGCAGTGACTTCACCATGTTTCATT